GAGTAACATGAATGGAACAGCTGTTAATGCTAATTTTACGACATTGTGGAGGCCAGTGTGTGTGTGTGTATGGACCAGGGGGGGGGGGTGGAGGGCGAGTGTACACACACATATTTCTGCTCGCAGGATCGAACTTTAGCTCCTGGACACCGCCTTTCAAGCAGCTGGTTGCCTAGTGCCACGAGCCCTGACCCAGCCCACCAACCTGCTCCTTTAGGTCCTTCTATTCCCCCACTACGTTTGCACTAAATAAAACTTTGTAACGTCCCTTCGACTCGTTCGATCCCCAAGCTTCCCCCAAGGCCACGGAGTTTTAGGCCACGGTAAAGACGTCTTAGGGTATTCAAGACACGTATTCGAGACACCTGTCACCCCACACCCAGGGAACACCCTGGCAGGAACCACACACACAGGGAACACCCTGGCAGGGTATCTACACCCAGGGAACACCCAAGTAACACACCCAGGGAACACCCAAGTAACACACCCAGGGAAGACCCTGGCAGCCACCACACACACAGAAACACCCTGGCAGTCACCCCACACCCAGGGAAGACCCTGGCAGCCACCACACACACAGAAACACCCTGGCAGTCACCCCACACCCAGGGAAGACCCTGGCAGCCACCACACACACAGAAACACCCTGGCAGTCACCCCACACCCAGGGAAGACCCTGGCAGCCACCACACACACAGGGAACACCCTGGCAGTCACCCCACACCCAGGGAAGACCCTGGCAGCCACCACACACACAGGGAACACCCTGGCAGTCACCCCACACTCAGGGAACACCCTGGCAGGGTATCTACACCCAGGGAACCCCCTAGCAGTCACCACACACCCAGGGAGCACCCTGGCAGTCACCACACACCCAGGGAACACCCTAGCAGTCACCCCACACCCAGGGAACACCCTGGCAGTCACCACACACCCAGGGAACACCCTGGCAGGGTATCTACACCCTGCAGAATATGATATATAGAGTGGTGGGCCCCGGGGCGAGCCGCGACACGCGCTGTACATTAGGGAGAGCAAAGTCTCTTCACAACACTACTTAGACTCACTTACACCCCCGCCCCCCCCCCCCCCCCCCCAGCCTTGTGGCCAGGGGTAAGTGATCCTGTGGCACACACACACACACACACACACACACACACACACACACACACACACACACACACACACACACACACACACACACACACACACACACAAACACACAGGGGCCCGTATGGCCACCAACATACGAGATCACCACCACAATTTTGTTATCCATTGCACCGTAAAACCCTTGGCTCCTACAGTTCAAAAATATCAAAGAATTTGTCTACGATTTGGGTTCCGGACTAGTCCCAACACCAAAAAGACCCAAAAGCTGCCACCTAACTACCTTTTCCAGCAGCTGTGGTTGGAAATACAGACGCCCACTTCAATCCCAGTCCCTGCCACGCATTCCGATGCCTCGAGGACCATTCCATCCTCTCCCCAAATGCTTCGGATTTTGAAGTGAAGAGACCCATAAAAGCAGCAGGAAATTTGTGAGAATTCAAGCACCGTGATACTGACTGACATTGAAGAGGCTTTCATAGAGTTGAGAGCCGGAGTGTGGAGTCAGGTCAAGCTGGGGTCAGGTCAAGCTGGGGTCAGGTCAAGCTGGGGTCAGGTCAAGCTGGGGTCAGGTCAACACAGGGTAATCCTAGCAATAATATATATATATATATATATATATATATATATATATATATATATATATATATATATATATATTATATACACACACACGATCGCTCTCCTGTGCAAGCCTAAGCTTGTATTATAATATACATATTTCAGTAAAGTTAACTGTTTAAGGAAACGTGAATCAAAATATAGAGGGCTGTTGTTTCACAAAATACACTGACCAAGGTACTGGGGGGGAGTACACTGACCAAGGTACTGGGGGAGTACACTGACGAAGGTACTGGGGGAGAGTACACTGACCAAGGTACTGGGGGGGAGTACACTGACCAAGGTACTGGGGGGGAGTACACTGACCAAGGTACTGGGGGGGAGTACACTGACCAAGGTACTGGGGGGGAGTACACTGACCAAGGTACTGGGGGGGAGTACACTGACCAAGGTACTGGGGGAGAGTACACTGACCAAGGTACTGGGGGGGAGTACACTGACCAAGGTACTGGGGGGAGTACACTGTACACTGACCAAGGTACTGGGGGGGAGTACACTGACCAAGGTACTGGGGGGAGTACACTGACTGGGGGGGAGTACACTGACCAAGGTACTGGGGGGGAGTACACTGACCAAGGTACTGGGGGGGAGTACACTGACCAAGGTACTGGGGGGGAGTACACTGACCAAGGTACTGGGGGGGAGTACACTGACCAAGGTACTGGGGGGGAGTACACTGACCAAGGTACTGGGGGGGAGTACACTGACCAAGGTACTGGGGGGGAGTACACTGACCAAGGTACTGGGGGGGAGTACACTGACCAAGGTACTGGGGGGAGTACACTGACCAAGGTACTGGGGGGAGTACACTGACCAAGGTACTGGGGGGGAGTACACTGACCAAGGTACTGGGGGGGAGTACACTGACCAAGGTACTGGGGGGGAGTACACTGACCAAGGTACTGGGGGGGAGTACACTGACCACCAACTGGGGGGGAGTACACTGACCAAGGTAAGGGGGGGAGTACACTGACCAAGGTACTGGGGGGGAGTACACTGACCAAGGTACTGGGGGGGAGTACACTGACCAAGGTACTGGGGGGGAGTACACTGACCAAGGTACTGGGGGGGGTACACTGACCAAGGTACTGGGGGGGAGTAGTACACTGACCAAGGTACTGGGGGAGTACACTGACCAAGGTACTGGGGGGGAGTACACTGACCAAGGTACTGGGGGGGAGTACACTGACTAAGGTACTGGGGGAGTACACTGACCTGGGGGGGAGTACACTGACCAAGGTACTGGGGGGGAGTACACTGACCAAGGTACTGGGGGAGAGTACACTGACCAAGGTACTGGGGGAGTACACTGACCAAGGTACTGGGGGAGTACACTAAGGTACTGGGGGAGTACACTAAGGTACTGGGGGAGTACACTGACCAAGGTACTGGGAGAGTACACTGACCAAGGTACTGGGGGAGTACACTAAGGTACTGGGAGAGTACACTGACCAAGGTACTGGGGGAGTACACTGACCAAGGTACTGGGAGAGTACACTGACCAAGGTACTGGGAGAGTACACTGACTAAGGTACTGGGGGAGTACACTAAGGTACTGGGGGAGTACACTGACGAAGGTACTGGGAGAGTACACTGACCAAGGTACTAGGGGAGTACACTGACCAAGGTACTGGGAGAGTACACTGACTAAGGTACTGGGGGAGTACACTAAGGTACTGGGGGAGTACACTGACGAAGGTACTGGGAGAGTACACTGACCAAGGTACTAGGGGAGTACACTGACCAAGGTACTAGGGGAGTACACTGACCAAGGTACTGGGAGAGTACAGTGACTAAGGTACTGGGGGAGTACACTGACCAAGGTACTGGGAGAGTACACTGACTAAGGTACTGGGGGAGTACACTGACTAAGGTACTGGGAGAGTACACTGACCAAGGTACTAGGGGAGTACATTGACCAAGGTACTAGGGGAGTACACTGACCAAGGTACTGGGGGAGTACACTGACCAAGGTACTAGGGGAGTACACTGACCAAGGTACTAGGGGAGTACACTGACTAAGGTACTGGGGGAGTACACTGACCAAGGTACTGGGAGAGTACACTGACTAAGGTACTGGGGGAGTACACTGACTAAGGTACTGGGAGAGTACACTGACCAAGGTACTAGGGGAGTACACTGACCAAGGTACTAGGGGAGTACACTGACCAAGGTACTGGGAGAGTACACTGACTAAGGTACTGGGGGAGTACACTGACCAAGGTACTAGGGGAGTACACTGACCAAGGTACTAGGGGAGTACACTGACCAAGGTACTAGGGGAGTACACTGACCAAGGTACTGGGAGAGTACACTGACTAAGGTACTGGGGGAGTACACTGACCAAGGTACTAGGGGAGTACACTGACCAAGGTACTAGGGGAGTACACTGACCAAGGTACTAGGGGAGTACACTGACCAAGGTACTAGGGGAGTACACTGACCAAGGTACTAGGGGAGTACACTGACCAAGGTACTAGGGGAGTACACCGACCAAGGTACTGGGGGAGTACACTGACCAAGGTACTGGGGGAGTACACTGACCAAGGTACTGGGGGAGTACACTGACCAAGGTACTAGGGGAGTACACCGACCAAGGTACTGGGGGAGTACACTGACCAAGGTACTGGGGGAGTACACCGACCAAGGTACTGGGGGAGTACACTGACCAAGGTAATAGGGGAGTACACCGACCAAGGTACTGGGGGAGTACACTGACCAAGGTACTGGGGGAGTACACTGACCAAGGTACTAGGGGAGTACACTGACCAAGGTACTAGGGGAGTACACTGACCAAGGTACTGGGGGAGTACACTGACCAAGGTACTGGGGGAGTACACTGACCAAGGTACTAGGGGAGTACACTGACCAAGGTACTAGGGGAGTACACTGACCAAGGTACTGGGGGAGTACACTGACCAAGGTACTGGGAGAGTACACTGACCAAGGTAGTGGGGGAGTACACTGACCAAGGTACTAGGGGAGTACACTGACCAAGGTACTGGGGGAGTACACTGACCAAGGTACTGAGGGAGTACACTGACCAAGGTACTAGGGGAGTACACTGACCAAGGTACTAGGGGAGTACACTGACCAAGGTACTAGGGGAGTACACTGACCAAGGTACTAGGGGAGTACACTGACCAAGGTACTAGGGGAGTACACTGACCAAGGTACTAGGGGAGTACACTGACCAAGGTACTGGGAGAGTACACTGACTAAGGTACTGGGGGAGTACACTGACCAAGGTACTGAGGGAGTACACTGACCTGGTTAATGGAGCAGACTAGAAGCAGTAGCAGCATCAGCAGCAGGTGCATGGTGGAGGTTGCCATGGTGACCACTAGAGACGAGAGATCATACTGAGAGAGTATGAGATGAGATAAGTGTGGAGGCTGAGGATGCTCGCCCTCACTCACACACACACTTTCCTAACACCACTACCACCACTTGCTTCTCCACCACACTTAACACTTGTCGATATTGAGGAGTTAACGTTAACCACTTAAAAGTGTGGCTCAAACACTTAGCAATCACTTAACTGCCGTTCATCTCTGATCACTATACATCACTTACACTTTCAATGTAGTGCTGTTTACGAATACACTTAACAGTAACTTAAAACACTTCACGTAGCTACAATCTTCAGTATCACTTATAAGATCACTAAATGAGACACATGGTAAACACTTATTCCTTCACTTTACACTAATACTGAATGTCACTTTCGCAAGAATTACCGCACAGAAAAGTGTTGTTCACTCCAGCCCTCCAAAGGTCCACCACGAGGACACGACAAAACTTGTACTGTGTTCCAAAACACAAATTTCTTGACAGCAAACTGGAGGAATTAACGCTAATTAATTTTACAGGTGGAGCTGCAGGTGGGCTTCTTCGACACTGAGAGCATCGACGTCAGTGTCACACTGTCAGTAGAGGCGTGACTAGGCGGGGAGGCAGGTGGGTGCTTACTGGGGGCAGGCAGGTAGGTGGTAGGGATGACATAGGTAACCGAGTAGTTGGGCCCCATCAACTACCAGTTAGTGAGGAGCTGACCATCTCCCTGCAACACTTGGGGTTCTTCTGCAAGCCCCTGCGGTGCTCAACTTATTTCCTGCTTTTCGTCTCTGCCTGAAAAGATAAAATTTGGTTTTGTTTATGAAGTAGATATGAGGCTCCTGAAATACAGATTTGGTGAGTGTTACCTCCAGTAAGACTCACCAAATAATCAAATTATATAGCCGAAGCACTACACGTCAAACACACCCATCCGTCAACAGCCTGCCAGCCTGCTTTTAGCTACACCTGATCTTTATCAAGGCCAAGAGAGAATTTCCTCCTTCCACCACACCAGGGGCCAGATTCACGAAGCAGTTACACAAGCACTTACGAAGCTGTACATCTTTTCTCAATGTTTGGCGGCTTTGTTTACAATTATTAAACAGTTAATGAGCTCCGAAGCACCAGGAGGCTGTTTATAACAATAACAACAGATGATTGGCAAGTTTTCATGCTTGTAAACTGTTTAATATATGCTACCAAAGCCGTTAAAGATTGAGGAAAGATGTTCACGTTCGTAAGTACTTGCGTAACTGCTTCGTGAATCTGGCCCCCTGCGGTCCAAGCTGGCACCCACCTCTGTAACTCCTGTCAGTCAACTACACCCAGTACTATAGGTACTGGGGACACAATGTACTCTCAGCCTCCGAAGATGCTGAAGAGAGCTACAGCGGAACGTGTCCTCCAGCGAGACATATATATCCCTGGAACCACAAACCGAAACTGTCTCTAGTTTCCGCTTGTTACAATTTGTAATAAAGTTGTTACATCTTGGCTTAACGTGTTTATGACGTATTAGAACGTTGTTACAACTTGCTATATTGGTTGTTATAACTGGTTAGGTGTTAAAACTTGTTCGAACGTTGTACCAACGTCGTAGTTTCGGTGTGTGTTTGGCGGGATCGCCCATCTTGAGGTTATCTTGAGATGATTTCGGGGCTTTTTTTAGTGTCCCCGCGGCCCGGTCCTCGACCAGGTCTCCACCCCCAGGAAGCAGCCCGTGACAGCTGACTAACACCCAGGTACCTATTTTACTGCTAGGTAACAGGGGCATAGGGTGAAAGAAACTCTGCCCAATGTTTCTCGCCGGCGCCTGGGATCGAACCCAGGACCACAGGATCATAAGTCCAGCGTGCTGTCCGCTCGGCCGACCGGCTCCCTAAATACAATTGTAAAGTGAACTGTTGAGAACATTTTCCAACATCCTTCTCACGCTAAACAGGCTTCCGGCCCCCAAGAGGAGGAAACCTTGACACTTATTACACTAATGACTATGTCTAATTACTTTGATACTGACAGTCCTTAGGGGATTTGAAGAGTTAACAAGTGGTTACAACTTAACCACATCGACTTAGATGCGCTTCAACTAACGTCTAGTGGACCCTTGTTCTTAAGTTTTATGGAAACTAAGCTAGTGATTAACTTAACAGCATCTAGCTTCAGTGACAAGTGCCGTGAGTGTTAACTTTATTGTGTTGTAAATAATGTTGCAAACAGCTGTTGTTATGTGTGAGTTCTTATATGTATAGTTACTGTAGACTTTTGACTGTTACTAGACAGAGTAAACCTCTGGTTTACCCGAGGCGAGTCCACTACCCAGAAGGGGGAGTCCAGAGCACAACACCACTATTTCACGCCGTTGTTGTTACAGATTCAGCTACTGGGAACAAGTTCCAAGCAGCACGGGCTATGGTGAGCCCGTAACCCGAGTTACGGTTACCTGTGCCGGGTAACCGTAACTTACCCGGCACAGGAGCGGGGCAAGTAGCACGGGCTATGGTGAGCCCGCGGTTGACTTAGGGAAGAAGAGGTGCTGCTTGAGAACTATATTGGTTGTTTGTGTACGTCACCCCCTTAGTCCCCCCCCCAGGGCTCCTCCACCCCCCCCACCCCCACTCTCACGCCCAAGGTCACAGTATTTACCCAGGGCCGCCTGTCCCGTCTGGGAGGGAGGGGTGGTAGTAGTGATGGTGGTAGTAGATGGTGGTGGTAGTGGTGGTAGTGGTGGGGATGATGGTAGTGGTAGTAGATGGTGGTGGTAGTGGTAGTGGTGGTGGTGGTGGTGGGGATGGTGGTAGTGGTGGGGATGATGGTAGTGGTAGTAGATGGTGGTGGTAGTGGTGGGGATGGTGGTAGTGGTGGGGATGATGGTAGTGGTGGTAGTGGTGGTGGTAGTGGTGGTGGTGGTGGTGGTGGTAGTGATAGTGGTGGTACTGATGGTAATGGTGGTGCTGGTGGTGGTAGTAGTGGTAGCAGTGGTAGTGGTGGTAGCAGCAACCAGCACCAGGAAGTCGTGCACCATACCAGACCCCCGCCGCATGCCGCCCGCATACTATCAACACGAATTTATAACTCTGTGCATCTGTCTGTCTGCAGGGTGCCACTGTGTCGTGCCAGTGCCATGAGGTCACTGGCACTCTCCTCCCTCACCTCAGGCACCACACAGGTCACCACCTCTGCCCTAACAAAGGTGTTGGAGGACCTTTGAAACAAACTTTGGAAGCCTAATGTGTATAATTGACTAGTTAGGGTGATTGTAGGAGTCCGAGGTACTGGACGGGTACCAGGGCCACCCTGAGGTACCAGATGAGTACCAGGGCCACCCTGAGGTACCAGAAGAGTACCAGGGCCACCCCGAGGTACAAGACGGATACCAGGGCCGCCTCCTGGGGGTCCGTGAGCCGTGGGAGGCACCATGGCACAGGTCCTGGAGTGCCACCCTTAACGTCTCTCTGAATTAACTAATCACTCGAGCCACGTGGTCAAGTGTGAGTTGTGGACCCTCACCTGCACCTTGGTGTACCCTGCTGCACCACTTTTGTCCTCCTGTACTGCCTGTACCCTGTATCTTGCTGTATCCTAGACTGTATCCTGCTGGACCACGTGTATCACAGCCTGAACACACACACACTCACAGGGTAGATAAATAGTTGATTGTCTAATTGACAATTTTCTAAGGTCTAATTGACAGGGTAGATAAATGGTAGATTGTCTAATTGACAATTGTCTAGGGTTGATTGTCTAAGGTCTAATTGACAGGGTAGATAAAGATAAACTGTTTAACACGGGTGGGGCACGAACAAGGGGACACAGGTGGAAACTGAGTACCCACATGAGCCACAGAGACGTTAGAAAGAATTTTTTCAGTGTCAGAGTAGTTAACAGGTGGAATGCATTAGGCAGTGATGTGGTGGAGGCTGACTCCATACACAGTTTCAAATGTAGATATGATAAGAGGTCAGTAGGCTCAGGAATCTGTACACCAGTTGATTGACGGTTGAGAGGCGGGACCAAAGAGCCAGAGCTCAACCCCCGCAAGTACAACTAGGTGAGTACACACACACGCACACACACCCGCGCGCGCACACACATTTACATGTGACAAGAGAGATATCAAAGTAATATACACATGGAAAATACTGGAGGGACAGGTCCCAAATCTACACAGTAAAATAACAACATACTGGAGTGAACGATATGGAAGAAAATGCAGAATAGAACCAGTGAAGAGCAGAGGTGCCATAGGCACAATCAGAGAACACTGTATAAACATCAGAGGTCCGCGGCTGTTCAACATCCTCCCAGTGAGCATAAGAAATATTGCCGGAACAACCGTGGACATCTTCAAGAGAAAACTAGATAGTTTCCTCCAAGGAGTGCCGGATCAACCGGGCTGTGGTGGGTATGTGGGCCTGCGGCCCGCTGCAAGCAACAGCCTGGTGGACCAAACTTTCACAAGTCATTGATCGGGCCGGGCTTGGGGAGTAGAAGAACTCCCAGAACCCATCAACCAGGTATCAAGCAGAAGGTATGTGTTTGTGAGTTTGTGTGTATTTACTATTTGTATCTGCAGAATCGAGCTATTAGCTCTTGGCCATTTTAACCAATTTATTTCCCTTATTACGTCTAATACATATATTTCTCTAACCCACGTACACACACACACATCCCTAGGAAGCAGCCCGTAGCAGCTGCCTAACTCCCAGGTACCTATTTACTGCTAGGTGAATAGGAACACCAGGGTGAAAGAAACTCTGCCCAATTGTTTCTGCCTCTGCCGGGGATCGAACCCGGGCGCTTAGCACTACGACCCCAGAGCGCTGTCCACTCAGCCGCGAGAACCAAGCAGTGTGTGTGTATTCACCTAGTTGTATTCATCTAGTTGTGTTTGCGGGGGTTGAGCTTTGCTCTTTCGGCCCGCCTCTCAACTGTCAATCAACTGTTTACTAACTACTTTTTTTTCCCACACCACACACATACACACCCCAGGAAACAGGCCGTGACAGCTGACTAACTCCCAGGTACCTATTTACTGCTAGGTAACAGGGGCATTGTGTGTGTGTGTGTGTGTGTACTCACCTAGTTGTGTTTGCGGGGGTTGAGCTCTGGCTCTTTGGTCCCGCCTCTCAACCGTCAATCAACAGGTGTACAGATTCCTGAGCCTATCGGGCTCTGTCATATCTACACTTGAAACTGTGTATGGAGTGAGCCTCCACCACATCACCCCTAATGCATTCCATTTGTCAACCACTCTGACACTAAAAAAGTTCTTTCTAATATCTCTGTGGCTCATTTGGGCACTCAGTTTCCACCTGTGTCCCCTTGTGCGTGTTCCCCTTGTGTTAAATAGACTGTCTTTATCTACCCTATCAATCCCCTTCAGAATCTTGAATGTGGTGATCATGTCCCCCCTAACTCTTCTGTCTTCCAGCGAAGTGAGGTTTAATTCCCGTAGTCTCTCCTCGTAGCTCATACCTCTCAGCTCGGGTACTAGTCTGGTGGCAAACCTTTGAACCTTTTCCAGTTTAGTCTTATCCTTGACTAGATATGGACTCCATGCTGGGGCTGCATACTCCAGGATTGGCCTGACATATGTGGTATACAAAGTTCTGAATGATTCTTTACACAAGTTTCTGAATGCCGTTCGTATGTTGGCCAGCCTGGCATATGCCGCTGATGTTATCCGCTTGATATGTGCTGCAGGAGACAGGTCTGGCGTGATATCAACCCCCAAGTCTTTTTCCTTCTCTGACTCCTGAAGAATTTCCTCTCCCAGATGATACCTTGTATCT